ATATATATATATATATAGTTTCCAGGATCGACTTTCTCTTAACCTCGGCATTGGAATATGAATGTGTCGTTTTCTTGTTCATTCAGCAATCGCGAGGTTTTTAAACAGCATACATTTACTTCCATAAACACACAATACAATACAACGCTAGCTGACGTTTCGGCAGTATCGCCTTCTTCAGAGCAGCTTTTTGGTGACTTCCAATGAGGAAGTTTAGAACAGCTGATTATAGTCGCATGTGGTTGACGACTCATATATATGTCGCAAAACTAGTCGCATAGTGGTAAATCTCTCTTTGATCCACAAGGGCGGCAACTGCTTTTGTCGGTAACGATCTGGGCAGATTTTCGCCACACTGACCTCAGAGGTCCATAGAAACACAATGGCTAAACTATCAAAACTTCGTGGAGATTATGATAGGTCCCCCACAACCAGTGAGGAAGGGCAATCCAAGTATCCGAGTAAGTATATAGATGTACACGAATATACACATATACATATACATACATATATGCATATATACACATATCTGAAATAAGGCAGTGGTTAAAGGTACCCTGCAATACAGATGGGTTGGATCTTGCGTCCCTGGTTCACTATTGCTTCCACCCTACTGGGTCGGAAAACTAGTGCTGTACCTGTCTGGGAGGATATCAACACCGACTCCATACATAGGTAGGCCACCGCGAGTCACTGTGTAAAAGAGACGTGCATTCAATAACGTCTAACGATGCTTAATGAAATGGAATGCATAGCGCAACCCTCAGCAATGGATCAACGCTAAGAGATTTATTTTTGTATATGTATAAATCTACACATTTGCTTTTATACGAATATATGTATATATAAACATATTAAACAAAAGTATTTAATTACTGTTGGACATATTGACTATGAATGAAACAAACTTTCCAACAACACAAAATCTAGATATATTTGCAGATAATGAAACCCTTACCAATAATGGACATTGTTGCATATCTCTGAAGGTAGCGTAGAGGTCCATACTAGAAACAACCTCGTTGGACACTCTACCTGCTTTCACAGTGCCAGGCTGCCAGGCTATGAACGGAATGCGGTATCCGCCTTCGTACGAGTTTGACTTTCCTCCTGAAGCATAGCAATCTATGATTACCATATTTACTGCTGGATATAGGAATTTGTTCTTTACTTTTTTGTTCTCGTCACACTTTTTCTTACATTAACTATTATCACAACCACGCTGCAGATTCTAGAACACGTTGCTATGTACTCGTTTCCCTGTGTCCATCATCCACTAAGGACCTCAAACTTATTAGTTCGGCTGCTGCTGGTTAGGGATTGTCTCTTCATTAATGTCGCTCAATGTTGGTCGAGTCAATTCTTCCTGGAGTCCTTTGAAGGCGGTGCTAGAGCGTTCCTGCGTGGACTGGACGATGTTGTTAAACTGAATAAGACTGGTACCAATCTCTCGACTCTAGAGGAATGCGAGACTTGGTGAGCCTGGGACGGCGTAGAACCTGCACCGCGCTCGTGACAGGTGTTACACAGGTCACCCCTGCAGTCTATGTTGCCCCGCCTCCTTTTATTGTTACTTTCGTTCCACAAATCGGTTTTTCTCTGCGCTTTGAAAAAAATTTCTGCTTATCTTGTCCTATCTATTCTCCATATTCTTCTACAGATCCTTCCATGTTTTCGATGCATATGCCACTCCTGTATAGAGAAAAAACACAATTAATGCAGATATATGCAGATGTATTAAGATATATTCAATCAATGCCGAGGTTAATAGAAAGTCGGACTTAGGAGTTACAATTAATGCAGTCGTACTGCTGTTAACATTTAATAAAGTTGTATAAATTCTGCAATGAATATTGCGATGCGCAGCCTCCTATGGATAAAACTTACACAGCATCCGCATGAAATAAGCAATCGATTGATCAGAAGAATTACAGAATAATATCTACAGAGAACACTCTTCGCGAGAGTATTAAATTTTCTGATATGTAGATCAGCCGGTGCCTTGTTTCAAACAGACAATTTTTTCAAGAATTCATGTGAAATACGTTAATGATGATCTTGAATGGGCATACCGTCTTTTATTCATTTATAATGCTTGTTGAAAGGTACCAGATGGCTAGTGTTAATACGATGTACATGACTATCTAGAACCGCAGGGAGGAATTCCTGATAATCACGCGTGATAATGGACAGTATTTAAACCCGTTGTTTTGATGGGGGGTGGGCACATTACGCCTCCATGTGAGCTATATGCGGTTGGTCTCCACGTGACATATTTAGTGGAAGACTCATAGAAAGCGGTGAGTGTGCAAAGACTCTGTGTTCAATGTGATTGAAATTTTGCTTCAGTATTTTCTCTGTTTGGTTATGGAGGTATTTAGCCGTGTAGATTGTAGTCAATCTGACCTTTGCAGGCTCTAAGGAGGGCGAAATCCGCCAAAACGTCAGCTTATGCGTAAATGAAGAAATAATAACATCTCTTGTTTGATAAACAAGAATATAATAAATATCTAGAGTTATCCTCCTTTAAAGAAAAATAGGACTGTGAGCTCTCAAATGTAGATAGGTTTTTGCGTGCTCCTTTAAAGCGAAGTTTATGATCTCTTAAATTTAAAGAGTTCTTCGTGTGCCTCCTTATAGTGGATGTTGGAAGCATTTTCAATGCAACAAATTTAATACCTTTTAGCCCAGCAGTGGATCCTCCGTTCAGACATAGCTCCACGTGTGGTCCATGATCAGACATGAGAATGACGAGCGTGTTCCCTGCGATGCCTGCTTTCAGAAGACTATTCAGCACCTCACCGACAGCCCACGACATTTCGTTAATCGAATCACCATAAATACCTTCAAAAAGCACTCAGAATAAATCAAATTCAGTTAAAGGTCATTTAATTGTGAATCATGACAGCCTTTGCACTTTTGCTCCTAGAAACCCTTAGTGGCAAAAAAATTGCGTCTCTATCAAGAACAGTTTCTAGGAACACTAACGTGAAAAAAGCTTATATTCTTTAGTGAAAACATCTCTAATGGCACTAATAACGATAGGAGGAAAGAAGTTGTATCTAATTAAATTTTTTGAGAATATCCCAAGAACTGCAGCAGATCTTGAGAAACAAGAAATGTGGATTCATTAAATATATAAAATTCATGAGTGCTTGCGAAGTGTTAAAAATTACAACCACATGAACTGCAGCACTTCAAGTTGGTATATAAACGCACCTCTAATAGAAGAGCCCAGAAAGTCCGGACTTGCGAATTGGGTGCTGTGAACTTGCGGAAACGAGAAGTAGAAGAAGAACGGTCGCTCTTTCTGATCCTTAAATCATTAGCGGTTTTCAGACAGAAACATTTCGTGCTTCGAATGAGCCTTCTATGCAACATCAGGCTTCCACATCTTATTCTAAAGAACAACTTCACAACCCACAGTTCTCATTCTCGTGTCTAAAAATCTCTTCCAGTCATGAACGAGATTTTCCGTCATATACTCAAATCGTATCGGCTGCTGTACGATTTCATCTCCATCATAGAGGAAACACATCGACCTATCGGGTCCAATGGCATAGTAGGTCTGTAAAAGAAGGTCTTAAAACTATTTGATCTTGTCAGAATTTAATCATTCAGCAAAACTTAATAAGTGCATTCAAATTTTACACTTTTAGCTCAAAGAAATCCTCTATACACGTTGAACTGTGATTTGCCCACATTCAAGTAATTGTGACCAAAACCTTTCAAACCCATGTTGTATTGAGCTGCTGAAGTATGAGACAATGAGAATTTCTGTATAAGTACAAAATTATGGACTGAACAGGTCTTCTTAAAAATTTTTGCTTTACAGCTCATTTTTTAATAAAAATCGCCTTTGAGTGCCTTTCGAATCCTTTCCAGCTTCTTCATCCGCCCAGAACGTTCTTGTCGAAATGAGCTAGATCACTTACGCATTCATATATTAGCCAAATAACTGTGTACCAACTCACTTCTTTAAAAATAGATTGTAGTAATAAAATTATATCAATAGCGTATACCATTCATTCATGAGCGAAACCCTAGTGTTCAACTTCATGCCTGGGCAGCTAAGCCTCTCACCCCTCTCGGTCGGCAAAGTGGTACCAGTCTTCTCGGGTAAAAGTTTAGTCGGATTCACATAATGTGGCAATGACCTATATCACAGCTATCCCAACAACAAAAAGCTGTTCAACAAAGAATATGTTGGACAGGCTCGAATGTCAAACGACCAGAAAAAAGCTAGTGCAGGTATTTAATTATATTTACTTGCTCACTAAAATTCAATAGTCTTTATTTTGCTCGAGATTCACATGGAATACGATTCGATCTCTGAATTGGCACTAATGTTTGTTGTCTAGACCATTTCCACAAAAGCTTTGGCAAATAAAATTAAAAATCAGTGTCTTCCTACCGCAAAATATATGTTCTTTGAGCGTAGTAGGCAGCAAAGAAAAAGTTAGGATTATGATTGTTCAACTTCAGCCTCAGCTTAACTGGTTTCCATGCCGTTTTGAGCTCGTCAGGTCAATCCAGTTGACGGGCGATTACTGATGGCAGTGGTTGGTAGTAAAATAGTCGAGAGAAAGGCGAACGAGGGACCCGGTTGGTGCGGTGGTGAACGCGTCAGGCCCCGGAAAAGCTAACAGCATGCTAGATCCCCACCGCAGACACCTGCGGTCCGGAGTTTTGAAGATATCTCGCCATCATAATGGTTGCATTTCACATAATACCCTGCCATGAAAAAGGAATAAGCAGCAAATAAAAAGTTAAGTTTATGCATAATTTTAGACGTATCAGCTAGTGCTACAACTCAATCTTGATTCGTTGTTTACGTGGACTTTCATTCAAGTGGCGAGTTTCGCCTTGTCGTCAAAGTGAACATGCCTACGCATATCGAAGTGTTTTTTTCCCACAGAACAAAGATGTTCCATTGTGTTTTAATCCGAAAATATGAAAGAAAAGATGTTGTCGCACAGCCCAACATTACATTCAGAAGAAGGAAACCGCAGTCAGCAATTGTTCATGCGAAAATTTGTTCTCTACTTTCAGCTAGCGAGTGATTACGAAGAATACGGTCAAGATGCCTCACAATAGCGGTCAAAAGGCGTTTATTTACCGCCTATTCTTTATTTATGACACGATATGAAGCACAACCACAAAGGTGCAGCGATATCCTAACGCACAGGATGCAGAGAGCAAAACTCACTATCCCACGTAGGCCTCAAACCCACGATTACCTGTGGGGAGCACAGATTGGCATTAAACCTAGTAAGTAAGCTGCAGTCGAAATCGGATGCTTACTGGTAGCACTGATACAGTAAAAACAAGGCTGAGAGAAAGACATTTCAAGGGCCTCGGTTGGAGAGGTAGATAGTTCGTGAGCCTCCGATAATGGTAGTCGCGTGTGCTGAGTTTACATGGGCTCCCAACTTTTGCTCTTATCTCAGCTTCCCTGTGGTCAACGAAGGTGCTTGAAATATTCATGAAAGCACTTTACGTTGCCGAAAATCCGTAGGTTGCGTCGTCATTGGACTACTCATTGCTAAGTCTTCGAAGGTATTATGCAATGAGTAGCCAGTGATTTTACTCATTATGCTCTTCTAGAATGAATCGACCTTTAACCAGTGTTCATTCTTTTAGTGGAAGACGCAAACTCTTCTTCATTATGTTGTTGCTCTGTTCCACTATTGTTGGTGACATGAAATCGTTTCTTTGGTTTGTTCAACTTACAAGAGTTGTTATACAACTTCATTCGACTGACGTTTCGATGTATTCCTTTTCCTCAGAGCCGATGAACCAAGTCGATGTTCATAGCGATTCGTCTTTTCGATGCGGTATCTTCGTCATCGCATCGAGTCGAGTGTTCTTCAATGGAGAACTGCTCAGTGAGGGAAAATTAGCCCGGCAGCGGTCTTTTATACAACGCAGTCGTTGACTGATTGTCCACTGATAATGCATTCTTTTCATGTCGGCAATCAATCCTGCAGCAGTCGGTATTAGAATAGTTAGCACATCACGTATTAATACAATAAAGAAAAAGATGTTGAAACGTCAATTGAATAAAAGTTGTACAAAAACCCTATGTAAGCCGAACAATCCAGAAAAATTTATTGGTTATTCACGTCGAAGTTAAGTGGAAAGTCTGCTTATTACACTAGAATAAATTTAGAAAGGACAAGTTATGATGAAGTGTCAAACGAGACGGCGGCAACGGCGAAATTTACACAGTCCTGCAGAATTAATAAACGAGGACCGAATGTGACACTGTCTTTCACTATACTTCACTGTACATGTGTTAACTATCTGTCATTATTACTGTAATTTTTGGGAGCAGGTGGGAGAGTGGCAGTGATGCCATCTAATACTCTCATGATCCCAATTAGTCATCTCCACAGATACAAACCAAACCGCTCTCGACCAGCATTAAAGCACATTCATGAGGAAGAACAAAAAACCTAAGGTAGCATCTGAACCGACACGAAAAGTTCGGACACCTTTGCTGATGATCATTGCAAGAAAATTAATTAAGTTAAAGAAGTGCTGGGATCTGCACAATGTTTGATGCTTATTCATGTAAGAAAGGAAAACTTTTTCTTAAACAATGTGGTCTTGAAGAGAGCAGAATAAAAATGGTTTAAGATGCGAAACGAACCAATACTTTTAGAGGAACAAATTTAGCCGGCACAAACTACTAGGGTAAACTCAAAGGGTCATAATCATTATCAATGAAATTGGAGCGTACGGAGATTGAATTTTTTTCTTCAGAGGGTAACTATTCACACCTGTGTAGTATCGCATTGCCATGCATTGGTGAACGGCAGGTTAAGGCCGACGAAGTCGAAACCTCTTTTCGATGGCAGGTGAGCACCATCGGAATGATTGTGCTCATTAATTCCTAGGTGCCATTTGCCAATCATTCCGGTCATGTATCCTTAAGGAGAGTTATTATGTCGAATAAATTTCTTTGTACGAAATATTTTAAACACTGCACTTCACTCAAAAAGAACTATGTATCATTTGTTAAATAGGAAATTTTTAGAACACTCCACACAGTATTGATCTAAGATTATATTTATAGAGGGCGAGCAGCGGAGTAGTTAGAGATGCATTTCCCTACATACGGAGTCAATGTTTCGATTCTACATCCTGTGCAAAAATCCCGCTTTCCCCGCGGGTTTTCACCATTGGTACCATCTCATAAAGGCAAGCCGATTGCCGATTACAGAAGCGAGAAAACCGTCACACTGATTCGTTGGTTTTATTGTCACAAGAACAAACACTAACGAAAGAAAAAGCTGCAAAAGGAATTGTAAACTTTAAAAAATGTGGAAGTGCCAGTATTGAACAATTTAAAGCCACCGTCGGAAACTGTGCCGATTTTAAGCAATGAATTAATCTAGTGCAAGACACAGGTGAGCTACTCGAAATGCTCAAAACGGATTTGCTATCACTCGACGGTTCTCATTAGAGTCCGAAAGAACATCAAAAACTGGAAGCCACTGCTCATGAATGTTCTAAAACAAAGTTTGTTTCTTTAGTAACTTCTAGCCATCGTCTTTTGAACTCAATTAGTGGTAATGTGAAAACTTATTAAAACGAGAAATACCTCTGTCGACACTACCTGCTTGCTTGAGCATCTCGGCCATCGTCGTTTCATGTTTTGGTAGACCTCCAATGTCGTAGGGCATGAACACTCTTCGACCTCCAGTCACACCCAACCGAATCGGCAGCCGACCTGACACGGAATAATAGAAGTTCACTGACAACGATGGCATCATACAAAGTCCTGCTATCTCAGATATAACTCGAAAGTTTTCCCTGTTTTAGAGTTCAGCGATAACTGCAAAGAGAGAATGCACATATTACTTCGAAGATCTCAGCAGACTTTCCTTGCCACTGTTGACGGTTATGGGCGAAATTTAGGTCTGCTATTTTCTCTTGCAGGAATCGGTGAATTGGTCACAAGTGTCGCAGCGAAATCACGTTATCTGTTTGCTTTCCAACAGGTTGTTCTAGAAATTCCGTGACCGCTTGACGTTTGTCGACTTTCACCAACTGTATTCGTCGTATCCAATTGCATTTGCACATTTGCACATTTGTATTTGCTATAGAACAATTATACTCATTAGTTACTCTGAAAATTATCTAAGACTTATGAAAAAACCAAGACTGGTTCTCACTTTCTCAAACATTCTAAAACGATAGAAGCTACAATTTTCACATGTTGGAACATTCTTTAATTTCTAACTGTGACAGAATTTAAGCTCCCTCGATTTTTAACTATTTCATAATGACGAAAGCCTACTCCCTTGTAACACTTGTGATTCACAACAATGGCTCATTTTCCTGCAAAGTCAAACGTAGAGTACGTGTTCAGCAGACGGATTATTGGACTATGAGCGGAGCACCAAATCCAGGACATTCTGAAGGTTCCCTGGGCGATCAAAAGCCTAGTCGAAAGTTTTTCTCATTAACGCGCATTATTTTTCCATATGAGCTCAAGCTCTCATGAACAAGTCATTTCTGGTGATGTTATGAAAATGTTCGGCTGAGTAGAATGTGCGTGAATTCGACTTTTTCTGAAGAAAGAAAACTCCTCTGGAACTTAGGTCATTATTCCAGTGAACAAATCTTATTGTTAACAAGCTCGCGTCATCTCATCAAGAAAACAGTGAATTGTTTCACAAATCGACCTTCCTTTAACCTCGCTATGAATGATAATTGTATGACACTAATAAGGAACATAAAGTACGTCCAGGCTCTGAGGAAGGCGAAGTCGCCGAAACGTCAGTCATCGATCAAGAACATCAAAAACAACGACAACGACAACGAAGATTGTACCAACCTCGCGTCAGCTTAAGAAAATCAGTTTGTAAGATCACATAAATAAATAATAATAATATATGCTGAAGTACGAACGAGACATGAATACGCTCCACTAGGTTTTTAGATGTAAAACCAAAAAAATCCATAATAGAATACGTAGTGAAATTATTCTGTAGTGTACGAATACCAACTCACCGGTCATGAAAGCAGCTCTGCTCGGACTGCACATGCTGTCCGCCGAGTACGCTTGTGTGAACCTCGTGCCTTCGTGGGCCATCCGATCCACTTCTGTGAATTCTTGCGTAGGGTGACCATAAGATGCGATGTCACCGAAACCTAAATACGCCATACGAGCAAGTTTAGTAGGCTTTTGTCGAACACAATGATGGTCAGATATTTGTAAGACTCAGACGCCAAGCCAGACTCGAACCTTCGACTACCCTTTCCCTGTAGAGCACGTTACAATGTACCACTGAGGTCTTTAATTTGCCTTTTTCTCATCACTTTTTTTTACCGTAAAGATCCCACCAACATTCACCCGTCAGTGGGGATGGCATGGAAACCACAATCCGGCACTGAACTCAGTTATGCTGAAGCTGGAGTCGAAATCGAACCTGGCCTGGAGTCTGAGCCTTACTTATGTCTCAGCATCATTATAGTTGTATTTCGCATAACACCCCACCGTGAAAAAATAATAGACAGTAAATAAAAAGCTATGCATTGTGATTTCGATCACAGCCTCAGTTTAACTCGGTCCACTGCTTATTTGTGCTTCTCAGATCATTCCATTGACGGTAGATGCCACCACTAGGTTAAGAAACTGGCTGAGAGAAAAAGAACCAAAGGCTTAAGTGGAGCAGCGAGTAACACGCAAGGCAACGCAGAGGATAATCGAGGGTTCGAATTTGGCCTGGAGTCCGAATTTTGCATATCGCTCAGCATCACTTTGCCTGCATTTAACATAATACCCTTCAGCCCTTCGGCCCAACCACTAAACATTGATAGAAAGAAACAATAAAAACGCATTCGTTAAATAGAAGATGTTTGCTATACTGTGATTTCTTTCCCTCTCATTTCTACGGGACGTTTTGGTGCATATTTCATTCCTCTAATAATTTAAAATACAATCCAATAATTAATATTACTAACTACTGAGACCAGAATTTCTCCACAGCATTCGATCCCTTAGTCGGCGCAGTCGCCGACGTTGCAGGAATCGGCCTGGTCCCCAAAAAATCCAAATTGCAAGGCGCTAAATGGCTCCGCGATTCGCATGGGTTGCCAAACGCTTGTGGCAAAGCTCTGGAAGCGTCTGTCACAGCTACTTCGAGATTCCGGAGGAAACAACGGTTGACAACAAGAACTCGACACATCAGTAAAAAATGAAAACGAGAGATCATCACGGCGAGCTCACTTGCGAACATTGGTATCTCTATAGTCTAGAGCTGCAGGGCGGAGGAACTAATTAAAGCTACTATTGTCTAGACAACGGTCCGATAAAAAGAACATCCAAAATTTTGCATTTCTTTGTTTTGACAGCTTTATTGTGTGTGTCCTACTCTGCCATAATTATGCTGATGGATAAGGTTTCTACTGTGTTAAAATGGAAATAAAGGCATAAGGCGGTTGCTAATGGATGCACTATGCCTTTGATTTTATTAAACATCGCATTTGAGTGTGCTTTTGGCTTTTGGATTAAGATAAGGACCAATTTGTTGCTAGGAGATGGTGTGTTAAAGTGTGGCTAGAAGTGCGGCACAATGCTTGAAGCTTGGTCGGTGTTTCGAACACGTGCTGCGGGCAAACTTGGTTTCTTATCCTTCCTAGGGCGGCAAATTGCCACCAGACTAGTCGCTGAGGATATTACACGGACTTGGTAAATAGGTAGACTCAGACAAGTCACTACCCAAATAAGCCTGATATCCATTCAATTACCTCTAGCATGCTGTGAACGGAGTCGAATGTTGGTGTATACCTCAGAGATTTACCAGCGCTGTTCACTCTATTCTTTGTCTTTCTATGAAGGCTAATTATGGTCTTAGGGTGTGTGTCTGTCGCTTGTCATGAATAAGCACAAATTTTATAAAAACAATAACATTCGCACAATTACGTAGAGAGAAGCTTGTGCCTCAAAACTGCAAATCAAAGAAAGTTTATCAGAAAGGTTTAAATTCTAAAAAGTGGAGAAAAACAGACACTAGTGCACATGGGAGTTCGCTACAACAAATGTGGGAAAGCCGCAAGCAATTTTCGTCGATTTCAAATTATTCTCTTTTTCTCCCGTGCTTTAAAAGAATGGTACTGAACTGATCCCAAATGATTTTGAAGGAACTGAGCCGTATTACAAGCAAGAAGTACTGATGAACGCTTAGAAATTTTAGCATGGCATGAAATATTAACAATAGCAATGGTAACGGCAATAAACTACAATTATAATTATAATTAAAGCCCCAATACAACCATTTATAATGTGGGGAGTTGAGCCGACAATTATTTCGCTATCCAATTTATTGGACACTGTGCTTGTCACCTTTCTTCCGTTCATTTGAAATCGTTTGTCTTAGGAAATAAATCCTCCCGACGGTTTACCGCCCCATCGAGGCTGCAAAGTGTTCCTAGGTGTCGGAGTGCGATCTGCAGTAGGCGATTCATTACTCGGCAGGGTCTCCCAAGCTGAGAAGGAGTTCGGCGTTTCCAACGTAAGCCCGGCTAAGAGTAAACTAATGCCAGGATCCGCCACCGTCTTGGTATTAAAGTAGTCGCATGGTGACAAATCACCATGTGATGAACAAGGGTTGCGACTTCCCGTAGTGGTGACGACCCGGGGCAGACTTTGACCAGGCTAACCTCGGGACTTCAGGGAACTACAATGGCTGAACTCCGAAGAATGGAGAATATGCTGGGGCCTGCACAACCGGCATGGACAGGCCGTCCAAGTACCCAAGTATCGAAGTAAAAATAAATAAAAATTTAAGAAAAAAATGTTTGCTATTCTCTGTGAAGTTATTTGTTTTCTTGTTGTCTTTCTCAGTGGATTGCTCTTGAATCCTAAGTTATTTTACACCCATTTCTAGCACTTGGAGACTGATGCCAAAATCCTTGTGGCCGACTCGTTTATTTTGTGTCTAATTTTTGTGTACACTCTTTATGAGTGGATTTCCACTCAAGTTTGTCACTGCACGCATCCAAGTAAGTGGCTGCGTTCCTTTTGTTCGGTAGACTTCGGTTTAACTGCATATTTTGCTCGTGCTTTAGTTTCGGTTTTCTACGCTTTTCCGGCACTCATCTCCCATGTTTTTGGCACATTTGAAACTCTTGTTTGCAAGAGAAAAAATCGTTCGCCGTATAACAACGTCCCTGTTAGTATTTGGTAATCGGTATCGCAACATATGTAAACTATACATTGGTACTTTTTATATAGACTTTTTGCAAATTACTACCTAAAATCTGAGTTTGATAGGTTATCGATTGGCAGCAAAAAGTGAGACAAAACTCGTCATAGAAAATCGGTCTTTTGAGTTATTAAAAGTCGCTATATGCGTCCAGATAAAAGGCCGTAATGAATATGAGTGGATGACCACTCAAAGCGCTCATTACATCAACCCACGTGTGAATGTAAATCCACTCATGCTGGTCTTTGAGTTTTAAATGCTTTAATTCTCTTCTATGTTTGAATCAGCTTTAATATCAAACGTGGCTTCTATGAAGCTTGAAAAAGTAAAACGCGATAGAAACAGACCCATATCGTCGACCATAAGAATGACGATGTTCGGATGTGATGGCGATGGCGGACGCAAGCAGGCCTGCACCGAATTCCACAGTAACCACACTAGCGACAAGCTAACCATTCTGGAAGTGGTGGTTTCCATGTATGACGGAAAAGTAAAAGAGGAAACTGAAATGGCGTCGCAACTGAGTTTATTTCAACAAAAAAATTCGAATAAAACTACGGTAAACAATTTGATTCCAACATGAATATGATGCTAAGATTCTACGGTTATCTATAAACGTTATGAGCGTATTATCGATAAATTGAATTCTTAAAAGGTTTCAAACAAATAGCAAAGTTTTCGATGTAATGCATTGATGATGAGCGACTACAACTACATGCACTCAACATGGGAAGCAATAGTGCAGGTTATACCAATCTACACACATTGCAACATTATTAATATAAATTGACATTTTGATTGGTTAAGATTTATTGGCTAAGGTTTTGAAGTAGAAATTACAATCTCCCATCCCAATGGTTTAGCCCCTCATCGTGGATGCTAGGTGTTCCTAGGTGTCTGGCTGCTATGGGGGGAATCAACGCTCTAGTAGGGTATCCCAAAGTGAGAAGAAATCCAGCATTTTCTTCAGGAAGCCCAGCTAAGAAGCCAAACCAATGCCAGGATCCTTCACTGGCTAGTGTCAAACTAGCCGCATGGTGGCAAATTTCCATGTGATGCACAAGGGCGGCGACTACCTCTGGTTGTGACGACTTGGGGAAGGCATTCGCCAGACTGACCCCGGGACTCCAGGAAACCACAATGCCTAAATCAGCAAAACTTCGAAACAATGGAGATTATGCTGGGGCCCACACAACCAGTCCCGTCCAAATGTACATGTTACAATCTTCAGACATAGATGGAAAATTTCAGTTCGCAAAACTCTGAAGCATTCTGGATAATTTCTAAGAATCCAAAAATAGACTGTAGAGAGGAATACGCATTTATTACGCTTGATCTCACACAATGTTTCCGATTAGTATTTTAATATGACAGAGACTTATTACCCATCCATGTGAACTCTGTGAGGTTGGTCTCCACTTGAAATGTTCAGTGGAAGACTCGTAGAAAACGGTGAGTGTTCGAAGAAGCTGTCTTTTTAGTGCGATTCAATTTTGGTCCTGTGATCTTTCTGTTTTGTTTATGGGGGTGTTCGGCAGACCAGATTGCTGTCAACTTGACCTTTCCTCTTTCTGAAGAAAGCGAAATCCACTGCCACGTCAGCTTTTTTGCATAAGGAGGATAAGAGTAACAACCTCTTGTGTGCTTATTATAAGATGAGCGAATTATTACTGCAGGTCTGTGAAGATCGTTTTCGCCAGATAAAAACCATAGATATCGTAATAGATTATTATAGTTGATTATTGATAAGTATATTATATAAATTATTATACTATATCATATTAAAATTATGTTAATAATTCGTTGTTTTCTCCCTCAGCAAACGCGAGGTTGTTAAACTAAACAGCATGCGTTTACTTTCATACAATAACACACATACAACAATCATAGCTGAAGAATCGACAGAATCGCCTTCAGAGCCTGGAAGAGTACACTAATGTGGTAATAATTATGTGTA